AGGAGGTGCTTAGAAGCTGGGCATTCAGGGGCCAGAGGTGCTCCTGGTGGAAGGAACTCAGGAGAAACTGTACCCTCTGTCTGGGGCTGGCCGATTCCAGTTACCCCCTCTGAACCCTACAGAAGAAGGGACTGTTCCTTAAAACCAAGTGTGCATGAGAGAGGGTGGTTTGTGTTCCTGTTGGGCTGGGCAAACACAACAGCAGTGTGCTGGCAGTGAGTTTTGAGTGAGATTTATGTATGTATGTATGTACTTACATACACACATGAGAAGACATTTTAATACAAAATCTGAATCTGTAACAACTGTCTATTGGTATTCTAAAAGTCCTGTTTAGTGCTAACACTGGGCATATTAAAGCAGAATACTAACTGGAGTTAGGAGCAACTCCAGAGGCAGTCATGAGTTCATAGACTTGAATGTATCCTGCTCATTGAATTACATAATAATCTTGTTTTGTTCCATATTTGTTCCTTAAACTGTTTATATTTCAGAAACTATTTTTGTTAACTTAATAAAAGGGAAAAATCCTTTGTAGGTCAACCATATAGCACAGTTTCATTTCAAAGGACAAAAAGTTAATGGCATTAAATAGGGCCTAATAATTGTGAATGTTGGTTTAATGACTGACAGTTTAAGGTATGAAGGTGATTCTATGCCCTATTGTTTCAGTCTTAGCAAACATGGAGATTATTTGGAGATGTTGAGTCTTGTTTCTTCTCCCTGTATGTAGGTAAGATGTGAGGCCCCAGCTTGGGTTCCACTGGCATAAAAAGGGATTGAAACATGAGTGGGGGGATCTGACTCTGTTTCAGGGGGTCTGGCTTGATCAAACCATGTTAGTCTGGAAGGAATCCACAGCTTTTTATTTTCTGTGGAAACAAAAATATAAATCTTTTTCCCCAGTAACTTGTCCTTAGACTTAAATTTTGGAGTCAAAGCATTTTTAAAATATATGAATTGAATTAATCTAGCAGCATTTCCTTTAACAGTGGTTATTTCCTCAGCAGTCAAGCAATTTAAACACAACAGAATAGCATATAGCATCCATAATTTTTCTGTGCTTTCCATCTTTATGTGGCTTTTTTATTACTGTTTCTTTTATTCTATTTTTTCAGTTTTTGAGACAGGGTTTCTCTGTGTAACTCTTATCTGTCCTGGAATTTACTCTGCATACCAGATTTACTTTGAAATCACACAGATCTGCCTGCCTCTGTGTCCCAAGTGCTGGGATTAAAGGCGTGTGCCACCACACCCAGCTCCTTGCTGTATTTTTAAAACCATTTTATTCCTTTTTTTCCCCTCCCAAGCCTACATATATTTTAAAACACACTGTAAAACTTTAGCTTTTACTTAATGTGAATCTGTCTTTACTGTAAATCATCTTTTTGTAGCCATGAGTCTTTATCTGTTAAACAACAACATTGCTAAAATGAAAGTCATAGTTGTTTCTGCCGCGGTTTATCAAAGATGGTGGCAGCTATTTTACCTCCAGCACTGAGCTTGGTCTGCCTTGGTCTGCGCTGCCATCCAGCAGCATGTTGCAGGCTTGGAGATGTGGTCACTGCCACTGCCAGCTCTTGTACACACCAATAAATTGTTAGTAGTGCTTTTTTAAAGCTGTACATTTTTTTTTGCCGTTTATGCTGAAACCTCCCTTAAAGGAGTTGCACACTTATCTGCTTGTCTCTCGCAAAGCAGAGTTCAACCGAGAAAAATGCTGCTACCAAGAAACCTTGTTTGTCTCTCTCTCTCTCTCTCTTTTTTGTAAAACCCTTTTTTAAGCTTTTGTTAAGTTTTAAGTGGAAGTTCTTATTAGCCACGTGGGCACCATATGTAAGGAGTAGGGTTTTTCTGCCTGCCGCCGCGCCAGCCCCAAATAACGCACAGAGACTCTATTTGATATTATGCTGTTGGCCAGTTACTTGTTTCTTATCGGCTAGCTCTGTCTTAAGTATTAACCCATTTCTATGTATTTTCACGTGGTCTTACCGAGAGCGAAGAAATGGCGGTTCTGTTCTCTCCAGACTCTCCATCTTGACTCCTCCTTACTACTTCCTCTTTCCTCCTTGTCTCCCAGTCCCTCCTATCTAGCTTTCCTATTTGCCAACAGTGCTTTATTCATTAACCAGTATGAGAAACATATATACATAATGGCATGTCCCATCAACTTTGTGTTGGAATGGATTTTCATTTATTGATACAAATATAAGGTCAGTTTGGTGATATGTATATTTCTCCTTTTGTTTAAGTATTGTGTTTATATAAGCTCATTTAGAAATGTAATGTATAATGTAGTACAGATTATAGATAGTTACCTATGGTAGTAAAATCTTTGAATAAAGTTATTAGGTTTTCAAGATGTATTTGAGATTTAAGGTAGATAAATATTCTTCAAACCTTTCGAAGACCTACAGTATATGGCATTTAAAATGTTTTAGGGTTTTTCTTAACAGTGAGGCAAACTACTCCTGGCAACACCACCACCTGTGTCAGAAAGGAAGATGGACATCGAAGAAACACGCATGGAGTTTGCTTTAAATATGGCAAGACTAGTCATTTAGACAAGATACTGCTCTTGTCTGAACTGTTTGATTTTATGCTGTATAAACTGGACATGCAGGACCCCAGGAAAGTGACTGCTAATACAAGATGGACATTGCTACAGAGTTCCTGCTTCATGGAAGAGTCTCCCAGATATTCTGCAGGACACAAAGAAAAGTGACTGACAAACTGCCAATACAGGCAGACAGATTAAAGTTTCCTGAGGAATCTGCCAGACACACTATGGCCTATGGGCTGAAGATGAAACATTACAAAAGAACTTCTGGTGACTGACCAGACAAATTGTCTCTGTCATTTCTAGAATTTATATATTATCCTTCTGTGGTCTTTGATGGAGTTGAAGACTGATAGTTATGGTTATAGTCTTCCTTAGTTAGGCTTAAAGATAAGTTACGTATAGGACTTTAGACTCAAAAATGATGAAATATTTTCTTTAACTCTTGCTAAATGTTAATGAACTAAATATTGTTAACTGTAATTCTTGTTTGATAACTGTTGTGTGATATATTTTGCTATGTTAAGGTTAAAACCCTTCTTTTTATTTAGACAGAAAAGAGGAGATGGGAGATGTCATTCTGTAAATATGTTTGTCATACTGGTTAATGAATAAAGCACTGTTGGCCAATAGGAAAGCAAGATAGGTGGGACTAGGAGCAAGGGGGATTCGAGGAAGTAGGAGGGAGGAGTCAACATGGAGAGACTGGAGAGAGCAGAGGTCCTGGCCCACTCTCCAGTAAGATGAGACCACGTGGAAATACTTAGATGAATAGAAATGGGATAATAATTAAGACAGACAGAGCTAGCCGATAAGAAACTAGTAACTGGCCAACAGCATTATATCAAATACAGAGTCTCGGTGTGTTATTTGGGGCTGTCACCGCAGTGGGTCCAGGCCTGCAGGAAAACCTTTCTCGTTACATACAACATTGGTAACCGATGGTGTTTAATGGGGGATGGGGTATCCTTCAGCATGCCATTAAATCCTGCCAGTTTGATGTCCTGAAGGGACCAAGTTGTCAGCCTGAGACCCAACAGGATGGAAAGGTGTAGTGGTTGAGAACAGAAGAGGGGACAGTCCCCTGGCATGTAGATATCTGGAAACTCTTAGGGTAGATGCTCACCAACAAAACGATGGGCAAAAGCTACTGAGGGTCTTCACAATTTATTTTTATGTATGTGAGTGTTTGCCCTGCATGTATGTCTGTGCACCATGTGTCCTCTGGTATCTGCAGAGGGCAAAGAGGGAATCAACCCTGGAACTGGAGTTACATGCAGCTGTGAGCCACCATATAGGTGTTAGGAATTGAATCTAGGTCCTCTGGAAGAGCAGCGAGTGTTCCTGAAATATCTCCTCAGCTCCTTCCAGGCCAGTCTGGTCTACAAAGTGAGTTCCAGGACAGGTTCCAAAGCTACAGAGAAACCCTTTTTGGAAAAACCAAACCAAACCAAAAATTATTAAATTCCTTTTGAAAAGGGCTGGTGGAACTTTAGACCTGTCACTGAAAATGTAGTTTGACTTTTCCCCAATGGTGATGGCGTGCTCTCCTCAGCGGGCCTTAGTTCTCTTTCTATATATAGCTCTCTTTTTAAGTGCATGCTGGCACACGGGCAAAGGTTGGAAAACACCAGGCAATGTTTACTAACTAAGAACTCTGGGGTAGATCAAAGCCACACTTTTTTTGTGGACAAGACTAAAGATATTTCTACCTTTACCAGTGGTGTTCTTAACAAAATGGTAGCCAGAGGAATAAGAGCCGTTACTTTTTCTTTTTAAGGCTTCCAATGTGTTTATCTGTGTATGTCCACGAGCGTGGGCAACTCCTGAGACCTCCTGGTGCTGTTGGAACCTAGTTTCACCAAAACACTTCACACAGGGGTTTTAAAGGAAGAGATGTGGTGAACAGGTGCTCTTTATTATCAGGTTATCCATGCTGTAGAATTCATGTCCAGTGATGAGCTGGTGTGTCTCTCTGTGTGCTGGAGTTAGGAAACTATGTCTCACATGTATGTGCTTGTATCTGCAGTCTGTGGGATTTCAAACTCCATGTATTTATTCATCTATGTGTGTGTGAGTCTGGGTGTTCTTCCTGCATATGTCTATATACCACATGTGAGCCCAGTGCCTCAGGAGGCCCAAAGAGTATCAGGTCCACTGGAACTGGAGTTACAGATGGCTGTGAGCTGCTCTGTGGGTCCTCCGGAAGAGCAGCCAGTGCTCTTAACTTCTGGGCCACCTCTCTAGCCTGCCTTTGGACGTGTTGAGCCAAGTTTCTTTGGTTAAATAACTGTTTTATTAACTTACAATGGAATGGCATCCAAGTGTGACTTTATACAGCTGCCAGGAAATAACACCACAGTTACACGGATACACGTTAAAAGGCCTATTTGCTTCATTAGCAGTCAGAAAACTCTAGAGCCAGGTTTTTCACCCAGAATTCTACATAGCCATTGGCCTTTTTATTTTGGTCTTATTAACATAAATAGTACAGTTACAAGCACAGACATTTTCATAGAGTCCTAGGACTCTGAACTTTTGCTTTCAATACCAAATAGTATCTGAAAGACATGCTCACTTTTGTGTTTCCTGAGAAACTCTAGGAACTGGCCCAGGTTCATGTGATAATCATTCCTCAGTCCATAGTCACCATGGGCCTCAAGGAGTAATTCTTCAAAAGACTGGAAGAGGCGCAGGTCTTCACCATTCCCCTCTGTCTCCATGCTCTCAGCATGCTTGCAGGAAATATGCTTCCAGTTGGGGTATCTGATCGTGTGCCAGAATTCCTCACAGTGATCCTTGAAGCCCTCCACACAGATTATACCAGGCTTTCCTGTCATGCAAAATCCAGTGACATCTAACCTTTTCCCCACTTCCAAAATCTTTTTCCTTAAGTCCTGCTGATATATGTGGTGGCTGTAGATCCACATTCGGAGGAATGTGTTCTTGACTGGCTTTGCTTGTGTGGACGGCTCATCCGACAGCTTTCTGTTGAGGAAGTAGGATGCGCTGTTGTCCTGCAGCCACTGGATTGCTGCACAGACACACAACTCACCGGGATCAAAAGTCCCCATATAAGCAGTGAGACCTTGGTTGAGAAGAAGCTGCTGTTGTCTGTCAAGCTCAGGGGACCGTCCAAACAGCTGTAAAGCCACGTATGGGTAGCTGTGCGGCATGGTTACTTGCAAATCAATTGTCACCTTAAAATAAAAACCACATAGATTTAAATACCTCAAAACCACACCAACCAGTCCATCATGGCAACTGCATGATTAGGATAGGAACAGTCACGGAGACTATCAAGTGCCAGCTACAGGCCAAGTTACGCAGCCGTTTTTCTTCTAATCACTGCTAACTACCTGTGCCAGGTGCCCTGTGCTGGATAAGGAAGTGATGAAGTCGGACACGATTTCTGCCTTAGACCAGAGCCTAGTGAAGGAGACCCACATTAAACAATGACCACACATAGCAAGAATTTAATTTCAATTCGAGAAGCAGTATTTACCATGGGAGAAGTTCAAGGTTCCATTGAAGTGTGTAATCAACAAGATAAATAGAGTCTGGGCAGGTAGTACACCTGCTCTGAAGGAATGACAGAACTGGAGGATAGGCAGGTGAGAGCTAAAACATTAGTTCTCAAATGCCCAGTCCATATGGTACCTACAGTGTGCTATGTAACATTCCTGGGGATAAAAGGGTCAGAAGATGGAGATAATATTTAACATGTAGATTTTGTATTTGTAATTACTATCCACAGACAGTGCCATTGAAACAAAGTGCTATACATTTATTAACTTCAGAGAAGTCCCTTTGTAGCAGGCAGTATTTTGGCTTGTGAAAATCGCAGTATAAGCTGGGCGTTGGTGGTGCACGCCTTTAATCCCAGCACTCAGGGAGGCGGAGGCAGGCAGATCTCCGTGAGTTTGAGACCAGCCTGGTATACACGAGCTAGTTCCAGGACAGCCTCCAAAGCCACAAAGAAACCCTGTCACAACCCCACCCCCCCAAAAAAAGAAAAAAAATTTGCAGTATATGTAGGAGGCACATTCTAACAGTTGGGTTGGTAAGAAACTGGATGAGGGGACAGAACAATGGTAAGACTACAAGATAGTTTCACTGAAAACAGTAGGCAAGTTTGTTAAAAAGATATGTGTACTTATATAAAATTCAGTATAGTTATTTAAGAGAACTTACGGAGCATCTGGTTTGGTACCTTTTCTTTCCAAACATGTACTGGGATATGCATTTGGAATTGCCTATTTGTTTACTGGATAGAAAGCTCATGCCCTAGGGTTTTCAGTTAAAAAATGGGTGCTTGGGGATAGAGATAGCTCAGCCATAAAGAGAACTAACTGGCTGCTCTTCTAGAGGGTCCAGGTTCGTTTCCAAGTACCCACAAGGTGTCTTCGGTTAAATTCAGTTCAGCCTTCTCTGGCTTCTGAGATTACTGCATGCACAAGGTTCACAGACATACTATGGGCAAAACACCCATACACATTAAATATACACAGAAAAAGTGGGCACCTGTAGGGAGTACGGTTTTTCTGCCTGCCACAGCTGGTCTTGTCCCACTGCCACGCCAGCCCCAAACAACACACAGAGACTCTGTAGTTGATATAATCTGTTGGCCAGTTACTTGTTTCTTATCGGCTAGCTCTGTCTTAAGTATTAACCCATTTCTATGTATTTTCACGTGGTCTCCCCAGTCTCTCCATCTTGACTGCTTTTTTTATTATTCTGTTTCTTTTCTATTTTTTAAGACAGGGTTTCTCCGTGTATCTCTTATCTGTCCTGGAATTTACTCTGCATACCAGGTTTACTTTGCAAATCACAGAGATCTGCTTGCCTCTGTCTCCCGAGTGCAGGGATTAAAGGCGTGTGCCACCACACCCAGTTCCTCTTTGTCTATTTCATTTAGAAAAAAATAAAAGCACCCACCTTGGGCTCCTCAATTTGGAGCGTGATCACAAATTCGATTTTGTGTGGGAGTGCCTCCCTAGTGCCTTCCAGATACCTCTTTACATTCGTTAGGGCGTTTACATCTTCAAGTTTTACTTCTCCTTGGTTAGGAAACATAGAAAACAGCATTTCCATCTCCAGCAGCTGAAGCTGAAGGCTTTCTTTAATCGACGCTGACATGTCTACAAATCAACCAGCTTGGATACCTGGAAAGGCCCAGAAACAATGGTTTTGTTAATGACACCTGGTGTCCAGGAAATTTTCTCAAAGTCTTTTCTAGGAGGCAATTCCACCGTTTGCAAAAAGCAAGGGGCACACACCCACACACTTGAACTGCTTAGATTTCTCTCCTGAGCCCTAAACCTAGTATCCTTTTAAAATGCCCCGTCAACATCTAGATTCCTAGTCTCTCTTCCCCACCCTTGCAGGCTATTCAGGAGTGGGCGCTTTCAACAGGTGATTGGGTGATACACGTTTTCTTACACCTGTACTCCTGGCCAGCCTCAATCCTGGGAAATGCAGGGGCTGGCCCAGGAATCCCACTCGGATCTCAGGCCTTCGCAGAGCTGGAGGCGGCGAGGAGGAGGGATGCCCGCAGAGCGAAAAGGAGGGCTCTGGGTCGTCCTCACGGCCAGCCACCAGCCGCCGGTCCCCATCTGCAGCCCCCCTTGGAGGACAGCCTCCCGGGACTGCAGTGGCTTGCAGCATCTCGCGCAGGTGCACTGGGCCGTCTAGGCCTAGCCAAGGAGCTGGGGGAGGGGTCTCAGCCACTTATTGAAATGACGCCTGGGGTCGAGGGGGTGAGGACCCACAGGGATAGCGCTGCCCTGGCTTTTCAGAGGCTGGGCTGGGAGATGACCTCGGTGGTCGGAGGGACATCAGCGCTCCCGCCCTCTGGGGACCCCGGCCCCATGAGATCCAGGCTCGGAGGCGAAGCTGCCCACCCCGGGTGCTAACCCTGGGCCCGCCTCAGCCGCAGCGGCCTCACCCTTCCAGGTCATTCAAGCCAAGCAGACCCCGAATCCGCTACGAACCGCAGCCGCAGTTCCGCGGGCGCGAGCAGCGCGCGGACGGCTGGGGGCGGGGCACGGGGGCGGGGCCAGACCCATCCTTCCCGCCGTGATTGGCGGGAACATCAGACCCTCCCCGCCGCGATTGGCCGGGGGGCGGGACGTCGGGCCGGAAGCCAGGCTGGGCCACGTCTTCAGGGTCTGAGTGAGTGTGTTTGGTGCGCAGTGCTCGGCGGCTGCTCGGATGTGGACGGGGCGCCCCTGCTCTGGAACTAGGTAAGCGTGCTTGGAGGCTGTTGGGCCGCTGTGGGTGGGGGTCCCTCGGCAGCCATGGCTGGGGATGACCGCCCGTCACACCTGCACAGCTCAGTGCGGCCCAGGGCCCACGCTGGAGTGCGGGGGAGCCGCGGGTGACCGCGAGTTGGGAGCAGAATGTAATACCGAGGAGTGCAGGATGAGTGAAAGAAGCAGGCTGCACTGTTCACTTTTAAATTAAGAGTGGGCACTGTTGGGACTTTTAATAAGCATCCCCATGCCCGGTGAAATTAGTTCTAAAACTCTGAACGCATTAAAGGGGTGGAAGTGTGTTATTACATGACTGTTATTTTCCTTTGAGAGAGCCCTGGATTTCATAGGCGTGGTTGACATCTTATGAATAATCGTGATACATTTCCTATTGGTCGGTTTTTACAAAAATGTGCTCCTCTTTGTGAACAAAAGTTTGATTACTTTGGAGCAAACTAAATTAGCTTGGGAATGACCGATTTTACAAACTGGACAAAAGCAAACATTTTTCAACATTTATTGTGGTGGTGTGTATTGAAGCAAGGAAGGACAATAAAGCAAGGGGGTGTAGCTGTTAGCTACTCCTCTCTGGGCTACCTGGGGTAGAATTGACCCAGGAAGTGCACAGGTTATGACTCTCCATGTACCCTGCAGGCTGAGGCAGAAAACCTTGAATGAATTAATTGGAGGTGTCCTGGAATATTTGACGATTAGGACCCTCACTTAATACTGACAGGTCACAGGCAGCATTATGCAAACGTGATTAATTTTAGACATGGATTTAGAAAACAGTGTCTGTCTTTATGAATAACTTGGAGGTCTTCTGTGAGGTCTTAGACAAGAGAAAATGGCTGCGCTTACCTTTTCCTTTGGGCCAATTTCTCTCTAGTGAACCAGTCACACGGATTACCCAGGTGCTCAGCCCTTTGAGGAGCTGACCTTCAGACTCGGTCTTTCATTGGCCTCACAGCAGACTTCATGTTATTAACTGGGATTTGCGCCTGTGTTGGCCTCTTGTAAAATAAGATGATCTTTGGTCTTCCCGGAGTCTCAATATAGATATGAAGTCGTTATTCTAGGAAAATTTATCCCGGAGGCTAGATGGGAGAGGGGTATACAAGCTGGTTTCTGTCCTGACTCTGTCCTGGAGTGCACAGTGTAGGCAGGAGCTTCTAGTTAATTCTAACTCTGGGGATTCCTTTTTCTCTCTCTTGTCTCTCCCCATCTCTTTGGAGAGGGTCCCAATGAAACCAATGCTTTATGTTGTGCTGGTGGTTGGCAAGCAAATGGTCCTTGAAAGCTTTGTTTTCCTATCTCTTACTTTTGCAGACATGGATCTGGAGGCTGTTTCTAAACGCTCAGCATTTCATGCCAAGCCCCAGGGCCTCATTCTCCAGTATGGGACTGCTGGATTTCGGACAAATGCCCAACATCTGGATCATATCATGTTTCGAATGGGATTGCTAGCTGTCCTGAGGTCAAAGCAGACAAAATCCACCATTGGAGTCATGGTTACAGCCTCACACAATCCCGAGGTAACAAGTTGGTGTCCTTATTTACAAGATTAAAGCCCTAGTGACAGAGCACTTTGAACCAGAGTCCACACTCTAGTGCTAGGAGGGGGCCTCCTCCTTTGTATGCTCATTTGGGTTTGAAACAACTCTCCCATTGCAGCCATCATCACAGCCATGCGGCTAAGCTGGGTGTGGTGGGAACGGAATGAGGGTGCTTCTTTGGAGATTGTCCTGAGTAGAGGAATAACAGAATGTGCTTCCAGGTTTGGATGGAGTTACTGATAATGTAATGATAGCGTCACAAGGAACTGAAGGGGTGATGCAAGGCAAACACCGGTGGGTGCCTGGCATTGGTGCCAGTGGTACCCAAGGCAGCTGCTGCTCAGCCATCAGTTGGGGGAATGACAGCAAAGGGTCTTTCTCTAGTCACTTCCATGTGCCTTCCCCTGAAGGTCTGCTTCTCTTTTAGGAAGACAATGGTGTGAAACTGATCGATCCTTTGGGGGAAATGTTGGCCCCTACCTGGGAGGAGCATGCCACCTGTTTGGCCAGTGCTGAGGAGCAGGATATGCCCAGAGTGCTCACTGCCATCATGGAGAAAGAAGCTGTGGACCCGCAGCAGGCTGCCTTTGTGGTGATTGGTAAAGACACCAGGTGAGGATCAGAGTTGCCTGCTAAAGGGCAAGCATCTGTGAAGGATCTCATCTGTCTTCATGCCCAAGGCTAGGGAAGGATTAAGAGAGGCCTAGTCCACAGCCCACTGTCTTTTTGCCTTTTTAGGTGGCACAGGGCAAATAAGTCTGGGTTTGGAGTCACCCCAGTTTCAACTTTAACATAATTTGAGCAGGTTTTGTAGTCTTTGGGAGAGTCTGTTTCAGGGCTGTTGAAAAATCAGCATTTTAAATACTATGTACAAAATAGCTGTATCTTTCTGTGACAGTTTGTAGGTTTATTTCCCCCCCTGCAGATTCAGAGAATATAATTTGTAACACATCACACTTAGAGATCTGGTTTCTAATCTGTTTTCTAGTTCAGATGTTCTGTCGTTTCTTCATTCTGGAATTCACTGGAAACAGCATTTTATAGTCCTCTATTTGTCACGTTCAGCAGCCTTTGCCTGTACAAAACCCTTCTTTTTTGCAATGTTGGATTAAAAGTGTACTTTGAAACAGTAGTCATTTTCTCTTTTATGCAAGTTCTGGTTTCATCTGGGGCTTCTTTCTAAAGATATACCTTCTCCTTCTTTGGATAGCCTGGACTTTGTTTTACCCTGTGCTATGTTACCAGGGTTTGCAGGAACTACTCACTCATTGGGTCCACAGGCAGCAGAAATAGCTCATTGATTCGTTCCCTCAAGTCAGTTATCCCATTGCTGTGTTTGCCTCTTACCTGTAGTTATATGATTCACTTGCTTTTCAGATAGATGAGTAATTTGTTCTGATTTTATAAAATGGAAGCTCGGTTCTATGTTCTCAGTAGGTTAAGACCCCATCCTCCTACACCACTTGTGCATTCAGTATCAATTGTTGCTATTATTAACTAAGATACATAATGCTGTGAGTTAGGGTATTCTTTATATCTTTTAAAATATTCTTATTATTGTGTGTATGTGTTCAAGAATGTTAGGGTTTATCGGATCTCCTTGAGCTGGAGTTACAGGCAGTTGTGAGCTGCCCATGTTGGGACTTGAACTCTGGTCCTCTGCAAGAACAATATGTACTTTGAAGTACTGAGCCATCTCTCCATCCCTCCTTTATGTCTCTCCCCACCCCACTTTTTCCTTTTTTTTTTTTTTTTTTTTTTTTGCCATTACAGGGTATTGAACCCAGGGCTTGTGTATGCTAGGAAAACACGTGTGTACTAGCTGCAGTTCTATCCCTTTGGACCACTCAGTGCAGCCTTTGAACCTAGTGATCCTCCTGCCTTAGTGTCTCATGAGGGTGGAAGAATTAGAGTTCTGTATTAGCATACCTGGCTCTTTTGTAAATTTAAAAGCCAGATTTTTTTTTTTTTTTTTTTGGAGAAGTCACCTGTGCAAAGGCTCCTGGGAAATGCTTTTGATTTACTCCATGTTTTTGACAGAGTTGATACCTTTCAGGTTCATTGAACGTGTTATTTGAAACTGTGAGCACACACTCCTCCATTTGCTTTCTTGGTTACTCATTCTGCTTTCTTTCCTTTTACAGGCCCAGTAGTGAGAAACTTTCGCAGTCTGTAATAGATGGTGTGACTGTTTTAGGAGGTCAATTTCATGGTATGTAGTTTTAAGTTAATCAAGAAATTGATTTTTAAATTTAAAAAGTAACACATAATTAAAATTTGCAAATAATAAACAATAAGTTTAAGAAATTATCCCCTAGATAAACTCTTAAAAAATATTGCAGGTTTTTCTGGGCAGACATAGAGTTTGTTTACCCATGAGGCAGAGCATATTAAATCTTTTTCACTTGATACTCCTTTTGCCTGATAGATTTTTCTTCAACACTTAGTATACAGGTATCTGAAATAACAAGTCTGGTGTTTTGATGATCATAAATCATAAAGAAACTTACTATAAAATAGTTCTTACTTATACATGTGATCTTAACCATTTTTAAAGGATGAAAACAAATTCACATACTAATTAGAGGGAGTGCTTATTATTTTATACAAAGAGTTCAATGTTGGCTGACTATTTGACACTATAGGACATGAGCACTGTCAACATTTTCCAGGGTTTATGAGTGCTTTTGTTATGTAATTGTCAATGCTGAGAATGCTGCTTGGCCTTAATGCATAGCAGAAATATGTTTAAGCCCATTTCAGAAGTGGTTGCAAACTTGTTCTGATTAAGCTGTGCCCTCTCTCCCTCAGCTTGCTGCCTATGATTGTTCACCTGGTCAGTCTGTAGTCTGCCCTAGGTGTGTCTCTTTATATTTGTTTAGGGTGCTGTCTCTATACTCAACTGGGTTCAGATTACTGGATCATGTGGGTAAATAGAGATCCTGCAGTATTGGGTTAAGCCGCAGACAGCCTGAGGCTTTTTTGGTCCAGTGTGTATAGTATGGATTGACAATCTTATTTTTTGCATGTGTGTGTGTGTGTGTGTGTGTGTGTGTGTGCGCCTGTGTGCGTGCCATTCCTGCCTGGTGTTCAAAGTGAGTCTTCACTTCCAGCCTTGGCCCAGTTTTTGCATTCACATTGCCAGCCCATCTTTCCATCATTCCAGAGTGGTTGATCTTTCTCTACACCGTTTCTAAGTGCATCACTTCTTGTATGTTAAATATAGAAAAAAA